TTCTGCTGCTCCTCCTTCTCCTCCTCCTCCTCCTCCTCCTCTTGACCTCCTCCAAGGTACCTTGGCCTCCCCTCCTCCACTCGTTCCCAGTAAACCTCCAGCGGGTGGTGGAAATCAATCCGTTGGCGCTAAATTCAGAGCTGCCCGTTGGACAAAATTGCAGTGGGGGAAAGGGTGTTATTTCTTTCAGAAAGAATGTCATTTGATCAACTAGACTGAGTTAACTTGCTCCCGGTTTCCTGAAAGCTCGGGTGGGCCCGTGGGTGTTTTGCTAGATCTAGTGCAGATATGGCAGCTTTGAGAGAATCGTCCAGGACTTGGGAGATAAAGCTTGTTCTCCTCTCCAGACTCCCAACTACCCCCGCGAGAATCCGATACATTTAATGAAAGCTTTGCAAGATGTAGGTTTCAGTGAGTCCTTGGGCCAGAACCTCTCAGCACATTGCACTCACTGGCTCCAACCTGGGCTCTGAGCCGAACTCTGGTCCAGTTAAAAATTACCTGTTCCTAGCCACTGAACAGTTCCAAAAACAAAAACACCCTCTCCCCAGGAAAGGGAAGAAAAAGATTTCACCTCACACTGCCAGCCACTTTTGTGCGATCATTGTATTTCCAGAGGCACAATTTTAAATGGTGTAAATTTCTGTCCTCGGTTGGTCGAACTCCTCCTTGCAATGAACAGCGGAACCTGGCATTCTCAAGACTGATCTGAGGTTTGTGGCTTCCCCGCTGCCCGGAGCGTGGAATTCTATCCAGGCTGGGAATAGAGCAGCAGACCGCACAAGAACGCTGCCTCCTGCGCTGCCGCCTACGAACATCGGGAACACTGGTGACATAAACAGCCACCTGAACCCAGCCAGAAGCGCAGGCTAGGAAGTTCAGCCTGCAGAAGATTCTTGCTCCTTCACCCATTGTTTCAACTGGTTAATAAAGCAACTGACACCAACGAAACCACATTCGCAGCAGGAGTCCTCCTCAATAAAATGAGAATCACAATCGAAGGTTTGTTGTTGTTAACAACTGCCTTTATTATTACCATTGCTTGGTTTTTTTTTGTTTTTGTTTTTTTAAGGAACAATTAAAGGAAAGAGAGACAATCATTTCAAACTCATGGTACAGAAAGAAGATCTCTTCCCTTTTCTTCTGAAATTAGAGTGCAGATTCTTTTGATTTCATCCTTGGTACACCACCACCTAAAACAACTGGAAGAGGGTCAAATTGGCTCTAAGCACCCACACCCTAATTCCAGCATGGAATATAAATGGTTAACCACTATTCCCTTTAAATGCACATTTTTCTATCTGACCCTTGGATATAATTTAAGATACTGATGTTTATATACCCTTATTCTACATGATTAAGACTACACAGAAAAAGTAAAAATGAGAAGGGGAATGGAGTGTATTCATACATTCCATACCTATTTTCTGAGGTGAATAAAATGTGTTCATGTTTCATCTTGACGCTCAAATTGCAGGTTTTTTGGATATCACAAAAGATAAATCCTTCTGTCATTTATATATCTATTTATTTTTTTCTATCTGAATACCTTACTCATAAAAACTGGCAGTCCAATTGTTATTTTACTCTTTCAAACCTGATTCTGATGTGGGCTAAAGAGAGCTTCACCTTCCTGGGAATAAGTTTCCAAACAAACCCATAGTTCAGAGAAAGCTGATCAACAATCCCTTTCCTTCCCAATCTTAGTGGAAAAGGAAAAAGCTTTTTTCCCCTTTCTGTACATAATTTCCCAAAGAACTGACTTAAAATTCACTTATATCTGTCAGAGCTTCTTGGGAAATAAATACATTCTAAATGTGTAATGCCACTTTTCAATTGCAATTAAAACCTATTTAGATTTTTGAAAAGTAGCCTGAGAACATATTTGTTCAGGACTCTGTATCTGGCACTAAGTTTGATGTGGAACGCTTAAATTTTAAACCACAGAAAGAAAGCAACAGCACACAGACACATGGGCTTAAGATCCCACGTGTAACAGCTGTATTATGGAAAGTGCATACAAGTGCACACGGGCCGATGTCACAGACTCAAGAGAAACTTACTAAATCTCAGGATATTTTTTATATTCAAAGGCACTGTGAAGTATATTGGGGTGATGGGGAAGTAATTGGGACTATACTTTGTCACTACCAATATGCTGCTGCTTCTCTCATCAGTAGAGGAGCTCACAGCAGGGGATTCACACAACTGCTGTTCTGAAAGATACATTTTTGACCTAACAGAATATGCAAAGGTCAAAATAAGTCCCTTTTTGTCAGGAGAGGGTCTAATCTCCCCTTTGAACACAAGAGGTCGCTCCTGTGATCAAGTACTGGGGGGAAAATATTGCTAATCATAGTTTGTTATATTCTATAAAAACATCACAAATATTTTTTTACAGATATATTTGATATATTAAATGCACAGTTAGCAATCAGCTAAGGAAACAGGAGAATGCTCACTGGTCACGTATGAACTTTAAAGTGAAGTGAAAAAAATAATGGCTGCTCCCCTAACTTCGGTTTTAACGAAAGTACATTAGCAATAAACATAGAACTCGAGAGCACGTCCCTCAGGGAACAACCTATTAGTGGGTTTCTTCAAATTTCTCCCTTTAACAAGGAGTATCTTCTGCAAGGTTTTTACTTCTATCAGCTTAGGAACTTACTAAGAAAATACTTGTTTATAATAACAGCATGGGCTGAAAAAAAAGAAAAAAGAAAACGTGTTTTCACCATTATGATGAAATTTCCCGTTTGTAAAGGCTTTCCTCCAAGCCTTGGAATTGCTATCATCATCAGTAATAATTCTTTGGAATAGGTTATTAGTTTAGGGAGCTAAAATATCACACTGTGTGTGACTGGTTTGAAGAGGGATGGATAGTGAAGGCGCTTTGTGGATCTCAAATATGTCATCAGGCTTCTGGTAGCTTCTGCTGTTTAATTCCATGTTATAAAGGCAGCATGATGGAATACGATTGGTTAAAATCCCCTATTTACTTTCTGGCATTATAGTGGTATCTTTCTCTCTCTCTCTCTTTCTCTCTCTCTTTTTTTTTTTTTTTTAAACTAGAGTCAACTTGGTTATCTATAAGGGAAACATGCCCTTATATCGGGAAGACTTGCTGGTGTTTTGATTACCAGCATCAGTTTTGCAAAAGCGGCCTGACAAAAGGCTCCATGCACATAATACCAGAGATTAGAAACTTTAAACAAAACAGATTTTTAAACAAAAACCTGATAAATTTATCAACCTATGTCTATTCCAACTTTCAATTTCACACACATACTCTGATATAACTTTAAAACTTACAATAAAAATAGAAGGCATGAGATGCAGTTAAAACTCTTCCTTGAGAGAAAACAAAACGAAACAGATTATGTGTTCTTGGTAAAATCCAGCTAGGTCAGGAGAAAACTCAAACATCTTAGCTTCCATCTGTGCTCAGGAAACGCATAACCGTGCAAACCAAGCCATGGAGGCCAGTTGAGAGCTCACAGCTCTTATCAAGGGTTAAATCTGGCGAAAAGTACAAAGAAAGGAGTTTCCTCACAAACTGGGTTTTCTCCCAGCAGCAAGACACTGAAATTAAGCCTTTTACTGTTTGGGTTTGTGGACCTTTTAAGAGAAAACTGGCGGTCACATTAGATAAGGAATCGATATTTAGAAGCTTTGGGAGACTTGTGGGTGTGGGGGTGTTCTTCGTGGCCTTTCCTGTGACTTTGCTTTTGGAAGACTGTAAAGGGTGATGAGAACATGTCAGAAATTATTGAAAAAGGTTACCGGCGAGCCAACATTCTTCTCTCTCCAGGTTGTTTCCCCGAGAGAAAAGTATTAGATAAACAAACCTGGTGAAGTGAAATAGGTATTTCACCGCTCTCCAGTATTCGATCCCTCCCTATTCACGCCCTTAAACTAACACATTTTTTTTTTTAATCTCTAAAGACATGGAGACCTGTCCTTATAATTACCGAAACACCACCAACAAAACTGCACACGTCTGCTTAAAAACAAAGGGCAGGAGACCAGCAGGGAGAGGACCTGGACAGGATATATATAACCGCTTTACAAACTTCCAACTACTGGAAGATCATTTCACTCTTTGACTTCGGGTTAGTGCGCTTCCAAATGCTAGAGTTAAACTGCAAAAGTAGATAGACCTCAAGGGTCGGAAGAAGAGAGAGGAGTCCGCGGAGTCAACTTGGTTTTACCTGCGTACTCCCAACCTGATTCTCCGCTAAGGCAACAAGCGCTCTTTTCCTCCGCCCCCCCCTCCCCCCCAGCTTTTTGGAGATCTGAGGTCGGTGGTTAACGGGGTTTGGGGTAGCAGTAGAAAACAATTCCGGTGTGTCTAGTCATCCGATTCCCGGTTCTTCTCCCACTAGGCAGCTCCCAGCGCGCCAGGCGCAGCGGATCCGGGAGCTCACCCTCCCCAGCAGCAAAGCCGAGCCGGGCCCGGAGCTGCGCGCCACAGCGCCAGACGAAACCAAGCCAAACGGCCTATTCCAAGACGCCCCTTTTCCTAGAGTTCTGGAAGGACCTCGTCATCAGGAAGACCTACCCACCAGCCACTCGCCACCGGCGGCAGAAAAGTGCCCCGCGCGCAGCACGGCCAGCCGGATTGCGGGGACCCCAGGAGCGCAGGGCGGAGGAGCAGCGCGACAGGAGGCGAGGGCGCTGGCGGCACGGCCGGGAAGGAGCGAGGGAGGGGGACAGGAGGAGGAGCAGGAGAAGGAGAGGCAGGCCAGAAGCCAGAGCAGCCGGGCAGCCCGAGCTTCGGGGGAGAGAGCGGCCTGAGCCCGGAGCAAGTTGCCTCGGGAGCCCTAATCCTCTCCCGCGGGCTCGCCGAGCGGTCAGTGGCGCACGGCGGCGGCGAGGCTGAAATATGATAATCAGAACAGCTGCGCCGCGCGCCCCGCAGCCAATGGGCGCGGCGCTCGCCTGACGTCCCCGCGCGCTGCGTCAGACCAATGGCGATGGAGCTGAGTTGGAGCAGAGAAGTTTGAGTAAGAGATAAGGAAGAGAGGTGCCCGAGCCGCGTCGAGTCCGCCGCCGCCGCAGCGCCTCTGCTCCGCCAACTCCGCCGGCTTAAACTGGACTCCCAGCTCCGCGAGGGCGCGGCGCAGCCGGGCAGCGGCTCTCTCAGCCTTGGCAACCCCAGGGGCCACTATTTCCCACTTAGCCACAGCTCCAGCATCCTCTCTGAGGGCTGTTCACCAACTGTACAACCACCATTTCACTGTGGACATTACTCCCTCTTACAGATATGGGAGACATGGGCGATCCACCAAAAAGTAAGAGGCTATTTTACCTTGTGGGGCTCGGTGTGCTGTTCTTGTGCGCGGGTCTCTCTCAGGCACGGGTGCCAAGAGCTCTTCAGAGTTGGAGTCATTGCCTGGAGAGAGAAAAGGTGGCTTTTTTTTTTTTTTTTTTTCCTTGTTGCCGCCACGCCTGCATGCTTGCTGTCGGTTCTGATCTTCGGGAGACTGATCGTACCTTGTGTCTGAATTCGGCTGTATGCCCTCCAAAACCCTAGCCTTCTGGTGCTAAGCGGTGGTTTCCTCCTCGGGAGTCTTGAGCTCCCCGAGAAGGTTATTCTGTTGCAAAGGTCTGCCTGTGCATACAATACCCGGAGATGTGAATTAGCATTAGACTTGCAAAAGAGAACGAGTGACAACTGTATTGATGCCTGCTCTTGCTAACAATATCCAGTCCTATGTGCTATTTAAGAGCGTGCTTCATGAAAAATATAAGCGTTCACTTAACGCTGCTAGTCAAAACCTTTTCTTTGACTTGACTTATCCATAATCTTTCCCGATGATTATGGCAGAGAGGGAGGAGGGAGGAAAAAGAAATACAAAATGAACGGGTTTGATTGCGTGCTAGGCTTACAAATGTAGACTATTCAAATCTGCATTTTACATATATTCCACCTCCTTTTTTAAAATGAGTCAAGGTTTTGATGGCACACTTCAATTACCATCCCAAAGTGCAATACTCTTGAAAAGAAAAAAAAAGGAGAAGAAGAAGAAGAAGAAAGAAAGGGGGGGGGAAAAACTCCCAGAGTACGCCCTATAAGAGAACGACACTAAAAGTGTGTTTATCTCTGTAGGAAGTAAACGGTTAGTCAATCATGTATTTATTTTCATTTCAGAAAAACGTCTGATTTCCCTATGTGTTGGTTGCGGCAATCAAATTCACGATCAGTATATTCTGAGGGTTTCTCCGGATTTGGAATGGCATGCAGCATGTTTGAAATGTGCAGAGTGTAATCAGTATTTGGACGAGAGCTGTACCTGCTTTGTTAGAGATGGGAAAACCTACTGTAAAAGGGATTATATCAGGTACGCCATTTATATTGCTTCCTTAATTTTGTGAGATTTCCCTGTCTCTCTCTACTCCTTTTTTATTATTGGACGTGGTTTTGTCTTTTTGCGAAGTTTGCCTTAGTGGGAGCCAGTGTGGAAAAGTTACCCTTTAAATGTGTTACATAAATTGCACTATTCTGTTTCTTTCACTGTTTGGGGGGGGGGACCCCACAACTCAGTATTGGTTTTTATAAGTTGCGGTAGTGAAGCTGGTTTAATGGCTCTTGGAATTTGTGATGGTCAAATTGTGTTCTTCTTTCACCCTCCCCCTTCCAAAACAAACAAACAAACAGAAATTTAAAGATGGATAACTTCGGGTTTCTAAATTCTCTTTTTTAAAAGGTTGGTTTTTATTGTATCATGTGGTGTTTTTCCCTATTCGTTTATTTTTTATAGTTCAGTATTTTAGTAACTTACAAATTCTGTGGAAATGTCAATGCAATACGCAAAATAAAAGTTTGAACTAAGGATGTTTAGAAGTGCACTTTGAAAGTGCAGATAGAAATATTGCCCCTTTTCCGCTTAGGGCAAGAGTCCCTTCTTGGAAAATTTCAAAACCAACCCAAATATTCCCTGCAAAAAGACCGGATATTTAATCTTTTTAAATATTAACCCTTTGGTGACATCTGACTATCTTTTCTTTCTTATCTTATCTGAGCTGATGAATTAGACAGAGCAGATCAAATTGCTCATCATCTGTCTACGAACAATTGGTATATTTAGATAATTGAACAGCTTCCTTTCTCACATTAAAATCTGGTAACTGATAAAATGAGCGAATTGCCCATAGTGACAAGACTAACACCACATTGGGAACTTTCTGAGTTTTCCTTTTTTTTCTCTCTCTCTTTCAGTTTATTTTGTGCCTTAACTTCATGTTCACAAATCTCAAATTTTCTCTAACCTGTGTATATATATGTCAGAAATTTCATTTTCTGCCTTAGGAAGTAAGTAGAATTCCTAAAGAAAATTTTATTGTTTTAATAACAAACGGAAGAGATAACATCTTCACTATTATGTTAAATAATATCAAAGTATTATGTATATATATTTTTAAAAAACTCTCCAGTGTCTATTAACAAGTAATTAGCTTTTGTAAGTTATAGAATTTCTGGAGCCGAGAACTTATATTAAAGTTTAGTCAAGATTTAAGTATGCAGTCACAATTTTTTCCCTGTCCACTTAGTGTGCAACGCTTTTTCTTATTGCAAAATCATGAAATAGTATAATCTTGATAGGTAAAACTGAGCAGTTGGGGGGGTTATTAATACTTTGCAGGGAGAAAGTGGGAGGAAATAGGGGATGTGGGGAACTAGAGGAAGGGGGAGGGATTTTCCAAATTGTTTGGTCACAGGCAAGGTAAAGTCCTCATCCTATGAAATGGAAGATCTCACATAGAGTAGGCGGAGGGAGGAAAAACTTTTGAATCTACCTTCTAACCTCTGACAAATGAGCCGTTTTCATTGTTTACTTGACTAGTGTGTGAGCTTAAGATTCTGGAGAGGGAGAGCTCACTTTGCACCTCTAGGACTATCTTTCCTCCTATGGAGATAGGGTTTTGCTCAACTGCTAACAGACCTTCCTGTATCTAATTCTGCATACACATTTATAAAAGGAGCCAATCGCTTTTACCTTTTCCCCTTCTCTCTCCCCCTCTCCCTCCTCTCTCTCTCTCTCTCTCTCTCTCTCTCTCTCTCTCTCTCTCAGTTATGTGAGTGTGTGTGTGTGTGTGTGTGTGTGTGTGTGTGTGTGTGTCCCTTTGAACTCCTGTCCTTTTAAAAGCAGAACAGGGGGACTATTTAGGTTTGTCTCCTGGAGGGGGGAGTGAGGTGCCCTCCCCTACTTTGTATGGATCTTTTCCTCTGGTCCATTCTGTTTGTAGAAATGTTCCCACTTCTGTTTTTACTGAGCTGGAGAGGGGGCCAGGGCAGTGCCCCCTAGGTGGAACCTACAAGGATTGTCCCTTGTAGGGTAAGATCAGCGAGGAAGACCTTAGAAGTGGGTCTTTTCATTTTTCTCGCTGGTCATGGTTCTCAAGCAAACTGAAATAGAAGTAGATGCTTCAACAACTTGAGAAAGATTGAGGGAGCAGGAGCAAATTTCAAAGATAATAAAAGAAAGAATGGAGAGGAAAACTTTGTGTTAACATTGTTGCGGGAGGAAAAATCCTTAGGGAAAAACTGCAACGTGGTTATTGTGCAGAAGGGGATCTGGAAACCCTCAGAGGTTTCATTTTGCTACTCTGCTTGTGCATTTGTGCATATTTACAGACCGAGTGCGTTGATAATCTCATCCCCTAGCCTCTTATTATCTTGGAAGGACTTTTTGTAGCAGTTTTGGAGACATTTCTAGCAGCAGAAATTGGGGGATAGGAAGGCGAAAGTGTAGGGCCAGTGGCTACTAGAGTCACCCGGACTCTCTTCTGCCAAGAGCTATAAGGGTTACCCTGGGACTGATGGCTGGAACAGAGGCCCAGGTTTCAAACACATCAAACATTTTTATTTTGCGGCTGTTCTGAGCTAATAGGTACAGACGGACAGAGACATGGAGGTTCATAGGAAAGGAAAGGGGGGTAAAAGAAAGGGAGAAGAAGAGAGAAAACCATTTCTATCCTCCCATTCTCAGCTAGTCGGCGGATGCTGACTTCCGTGACGCAGGGCGTTGTGGCTGGGGTCATCTGCAGTCTTGGGCCCGGGCCATGCCGGCTTGAAGTGATCCCTCTCTCTGTGTTTTTCTCCTCGCCTCCGCCGGCCCCCCGCGCAGGTTGTACGGGATCAAATGCGCCAAGTGCAGCATCGGCTTCAGCAAGAACGACTTCGTGATGCGCGCCCGCTCCAAGGTGTACCACATCGAGTGTTTCCGCTGCGTGGCTTGCAGCCGTCAGCTCATCCCTGGGGATGAGTTCGCGCTTCGGGAGGACGGGCTCTTCTGCCGTGCAGACCACGACGTGGTGGAGAGGGCCAGCCTGGGCGCCGGTGATCCGCTCAGCCCTCTGCACCCGGCGCGGCCGCTGCAAATGGCAGGTACTTCTTGCCCGGAGGGAGGCCGGCGAGGGGAGGCTGGTTCTGGGCTAGGCCAGCGCCGCCCCCAGCCAGCGCGGCGGCTACCGACCTCAGCGACCCTGGCAGCCACAGGGCAGTCGCTGCGCAGCGGCAGGCAGTTTAAGGAAGTGTTCTGGGAGCAGTTTGCACAGCGCTTTGCTCTTTTGCGCAAGGTTCAGTGCTTTCACTGTGTCCCCTGGCTCCCCGCCCCGCGCCCCCCCGCCCCGTCCAGCACACCTACGCGGCTGTGTGTCTATATATGGGTACACATAAATGTACACCACTTGCGCTTACATGTACACACACGTCCAAACAGTACTTCCAGTTCACCTTGGCCTCCAAACCGCGGCTTACTGAAAATGGGCTTCAGCTCTCCGCCACGTATTCTTCCTGCCGCTGCCTAATTAAAGGGGTGGAGCTCTGGGCCCTGGAGCTTCTTCCTTTAACCCAATGAAGGAAGCTCAGGTAGCCTTAAGCCATTTAGCCCCTCAAATCCCTTTTCCTTGCAACTGGCCCACACGCTAAAACGTTTTTAAAATGTGTGTACTTTTGTGAAAGAATGGACGTGAAAAGGTACAGTCCAATAACTGCAGGCCATTGCACAGAGCTGTGATTTAAAACTGTCAACAAGCTAACCCGGAGTAATTGACTTTTAAAAGGAGCCTGCGTCTTTAAACCATTCATTCTATGTGATTTGGTGAGGATTTCATCTTCAGGCTTGTCGCTGTAACACTAAATTGACCCAGTAGGTTTTGACCTGACCCTAGGGGTCCTGGAAGGTGCAGGATTTGTGCCATACATTTCAGAGAGCCCTTCCCCAAGAAGGAGAGTTGAAGTAAAGCAAGGTTGGCCAGGACGAGGCCTTCCCTAAGAAGGCAGATGACGTTTCCCAACCTTTCTTCCCCTCATGAGTAGATCTACCTGGCTCATTTTTAAAGTATCAATTCTCACTAAACACTGACGTTGAGGAAACCCGGGTCTTCCCACTCTGCTTTTTCAGAGGCTCTAAGACTTCTCTTCTAGGGGGATATGTGACTAGCTTGCACATGGGCAAAGCCAGAGTGGGGGTTTCTGTCCTGTGCAACCTGTGCTGTGCTTGTGGGGAGACAGAGGAGAGGCAGAAATACTGGGAGGAAGTCAGGAGACAGAACACTTCCCAGCTGTCATTTATCTGCAGCTCTACAGTTTCGGTTTTCCTTTGCATGGAGTCAGCCCATCTCAGGAACGGCCAGGTAGATTTAGTAGGAGGAAAGATCAAGGACTGGAGTTATGGTCGAAATACTGAATTTCTTTAGCCCCTTGACACGATTGTCCCCGCTGGACTGAAGTTCAAGGCTTTCTGGCAGAATTCTCTTCGGCTTTTGCATTAGAGACCTCTTGGCTGGTGTAGTGTCTCTGGCTGATGCTGGGGTATACTGTGTTTCCTTTCCTAGCACCTCCTGTGGCCTTTGCCCAAGAGTCTAGAAGTGGGGGTTCTCCAGTAACCTGGGCCCAGTCTGGGTATGAAGAAAGGCCTGGAGGAAAGAGAAACAATGCTGAAAGATGCTACCCCTGAGACGGCCACCCCTTTTCTGAGGCTATGTTGACCATAGCAAGGGTAGAGGCTGTGTTCTGGGCCTAAACTAGTCAGCATTGACCTCTCTGACTAGAAAGTCAGATTTCATTCTCCCTTTTGCTTCCGTGGTCCCTACCTCTGCCTCCCCTGCTTTGTCTGTGGAGGCTGCAAAGCAAGCCATTGTCCCTGCAGCACTGCACGGGAGGGTGAGCAGCCCGGCCTGGCCTGCACTCACCTCAGTGCCCCTTGCCTCACAGCCGAGCCCATCTCTGCCCGGCAGCCGGCCCTGCGGCCCCATGTCCACAAGCAGCCCGAGAAGACCACCCGCGTTCGGACTGTGCTGAACGAGAAGCAGCTGCACACCTTGCGGACCTGCTATGCCGCCAACCCCCGGCCAGACGCGCTCATGAAGGAGCAACTGGTGGAGATGACAGGCCTCAGTCCCCGCGTGATCCGGGTATGGTTTCAAAACAAGCGGTGCAAGGACAAGAAGCGGAGCATCATGATGAAGCAGCTCCAGCAGCAGCAGCCCAATGACAAAACTGTGAGTGGCCCTGGAGCCGGGTAGGGTACTTGTGGGGGGGGGGGTGCGGGAGCAGAGCAAGAGTGTGAGGTGCTTGGCGGCTACCCAGGTTGGCCTGCACGTGGGTTCCATCCTGCTCCAGGGCAGGAGCCAGCAACCCCTTACCTCCACCTGTGCCCAGGGGAGAAATAGCCGCACCGGCCACCTGCCCAGTGGGGTGCCCTTCAACCATACCCCTAGGCTGGAACCAGAAGGATGTGGTCACCCCTTCATGGGCAGGCGGCAGCAAGGCCTGGCTCCATTTTACCAGCTTTCAGGTTGTCAGTTCCCCAGGCACCGGAGAGAGGGACAATTCCTTGGTTCCCTATCTAATTCAGAGGTTTGATGGGTAGGTCACCCAGGCAACCCTCTGGGTGTGCCCCCAGCGCCCTCAGGTCAGTGAGGTCCCCCAAGGTGACCTGTGAAAACAGGACACCCTCTGCTCTAGGTCTAGCCCGGGCTTCCAGAGATATTATTATCTACTGTCATCCCAGGCCCATGCCAGCACCCACTCCACAGGCTTCCTGATTGAGTTAAACTAAAGAACTTTTTTTTTTTTCTTTTTACCGCTTCAGCCCTATTTTTAAATGCCATAAAACCCCTGCTGTCATTAAACTTGGCAGGCCAGCCAAGCCTGGTCTGGGGCACTTTTCAGGTTGGTGAGTGCGTCATAGCACAATAGCCGCCAGACCTAAACCCTTGGGGGTGGGGGCTGGCGCTGTGAAGAGAACTGCCTGTAGAAAATGTAACTGAAAATCTAACTAACTGAAACTGCCCAGAAAACCACCATGTCTGGAGGCTGCCGGGAGGCCTCTTTTGCCTCAGCTTTCTGCTTCTGTGATGCTATGGCCTGTGAAGGCAGATGTGGGGAATTGGGATATGCTGTGAATGTAAAAGGAAAGGAGAGGAGAAAATCAGAATAGAACTCAGTTTAATAAGATCCAAGCAGACCCACTAGTCCCGCCCACAGAAGCAGAAAAACAAAATACAATAAAACAAAACAGGACTCTGGCTAATATCCATACATGCAGCAGATTAACTGAGTCAATAATAGTCACTATATAGATAAGATAATGCCAGGGTTTATTTGCTTAGCCTGTGCAGACAATGGAGGGAGGGAGTTTGGTCATTAACATGTTGGGATTGGGGGGGGCCTATTCACAGAATATCCAGGGGATGACAGGAACTCCCATGGTGGCTGCCAGTCCAGAGAGACACGATGGTGGCTTACAGGCAAACCCAGTGGAGGTGCAAAGTTACCAGCCGCCTTGGAAAGTACTGAGTGACTTCGCCTTGCAGAGTGACATAGATCAGCCTGCTTTTCAGCAACTGGTAAGTCTCAGCTCTTGGAGTCAGGAGGCTGAATCCCCGACAAAAAGAAGATTCTGGTTTAACTGTCACAGGAGGAAGGATTCAGTGGGGAGGGTGCCTCCCTGGCCCCAGGGTCGGGAAGAGAGGAAGGAGGCTTGGTGGAGAGGAGGCACGCACTCAAGGAAAACAAACCTCTTGTGAGTCTTTTCTGTGAGTTCATAACTTGACCATATAGGTTGAATTTCCTATTAGCCGGGCCTTCTTTGAGGTGTAACTTCAAGGCATCAGACTAACTAGACATGTGTGGGAAGGCATGCAGGGTTGCACAATCCTACATCTCAGACTTTTAGAGCTGGAAGGGACTTTAGAGATCACCTTGACATTTTGATCAGCAAATAGTAAATTTATTCTCTCCTCAGCTCCTAGAGAATGGCATATTTAAAGACCTAAATCTAGCTGTTTGTAATAATAACTGATGTAAGACACAATCAACATTATTATCAATGGGCAGCAGGCACTTGGCTGGGTATAATTTTCAAATATATCAGTAAAGAGTTCAGTTATTTAAGGGTATGATTGATACTTTGTTACTATTATTCCTTTCTAGGACTATCTTAATCTAAAATGTAGGACTGCTTTAACATTTTAAGTGTATGAGTTCAGACGTTATACATAATCACATACTCTGGGGGATGTACAGCAAAAGAAGCAAGAGTTCTACCAATCAGAGAGACGGCACATGAAAACCTGTTTTAGCATTAATATGTTTTACACATCCAAGGAAGGGAAAATTAACTTACCTTATGCCTACAAAAGGCTTGAGGAGCAAGACAAGTAATTATTAAATATGTGTACTTTGTGATATGGCATATATACACATAATTTTATTTTTATTTAAGAGTTAACAGCCCTATAGAATCTTGTTCTGTAAAACAAGATCTATTCTAAAAACTTTGTTCCTTTCTTTGAAAATAAAACTTGAGTTGAGGTTAGCTTTTCACCCTCGCATTTTCCTGGAGAGCATTTTCTTTCTCTGTGGCAACAGTTAGGTAAGAGACCAGAGGCAGTGGTTACAAGGACTTGGCCCAGCTTTACATTTGTAAGTGGGCCAGGCTAGAAGCTAGATAAATTGGAGAAGCCCCTTAACCTCACCATGGGAATGTTTAATAGGATGGAAAGGAAGGTAGACTCTGGAATTAGGAAAAAGAACTTATTTTAAAGTGAGGTTAATCTTATGTGTTATTTAAGCAAAACCCGGGTCATAGAAGGCAGGTAAGAGGAGGGTTCAGGGCAGCGAAGTGTTTGTACCTTCTAAAACTTTAGTGTTAGATGAGAGCAGTGGGAGGGAAGCCAAGACAGGAGGGCGGAGGGTTGGGGACAGAGTGGAGAAGGAGGTTTCCAACAGCAACACAATACTTTCGGTTTAAAAGAAGGAGGCAGATATTTATAATGCGATGACGTTATAATATATGGGGCTCCTCTTGGAAGGAAGAGCCTGATTTAAAGAGAGAGAGAGAAAGAGAAAGAGAGAAAGGCCAGAAGGCATCAGGACCAGCAACAAGGAAGAAAGCCCACGCTGTGAACCCTCTGAGGAGTTAATCATTGTTCTGTGGAGCCTCCTCTGAATCTCCTGTCACACGATCTGAGCGATCTGAGCGTGTGTTATGGATTTTCCAACTCAAGAAGAGAGGCTTTGATGCCTAGAGACTGCGAAGTCGCCTGCTCCCAGGGCAACATGTAGCCAGCAGGATAATTTTATTTCGAGCATGCATGGTAGAGTTGCGATGCCATTTTACAGTGGGAAACACATTTGTTCTTAAATAATTTAATGCAACATAATGTTGGGAATTCAGTTTCAGTTAAAACAGAGATCTCTTGAAAGATGGGAAAGCGAGAGGTTTTCTTCTCAAGTTCTTTTCTTTGAGGGCTTTCTTTAAGCCTGTTGAAACTCAGTGATCTCTGTGGATATCTTTATCTACGTATCCATCTATACATACAAACACTTGTCCATGCATAGACACATAGGACAAGCTTATAATCCTTTTAGGAATACAGTCGCAGCCTCCTTTATTCATTTCTCAACCTTCTGTGCAGGTGAATTTTTCAGAAGGAGGACCGGGCTCTAATTCCACTGGCAGTGAAGTGGCGTCGATGTCCTCTCAGCTCCCAGATACACCTAACAGCATGGTAGCCAGTCCTATTGAGGCATGAGGAACATTCATTCAGATGTATTTTTTTTCCCTGGAGAAAGTGGGAAAATATAATGTTGAACTCCGAAACAAAAGTATTTAACGACCCAGTCAATGAAAACTGAATCGAGAAATGAATGCTCCATGAAATGCACGAAGTCTGTTTTAATGACAAGGTGATATGGTAGCAACACTGTGAAGACAATCATGGGATTTTACTAGAATTAAACAACAAACAAAACCCAAACCCAACATACGCTATCCAATGACCTTAGGAGTACTGAAAAAAAAAAAAAAAGACGTTTTTAAAACGTAGAGGATTTATATTCAAGGATCTCAAAAAAAGCATTTTCATTTCACTGCACAGCTAGAGAAAAGCAGAAATAGAGATTTTCTAGTCCATCCTATTCTGAATGGTGCTGTTTCTATATTGGTCATTGCCTTGCCAAACAGGAGCTCCGGCAAGTGAGCAGGAAGAGAAAACTGGCCTCCTTGGCTGAAAGTCCTTTCAGGAAGGTGGAGCTGCGTTGGTTTGCGATGTTTTTCGTTGACTTTAACAAGGGGTTAATTGAAATCCTGGGTCTCTTAGCATGTCCTGTAGCTGGTTTCTTTTTTACTTTTGCCCCTCCAACCTTCTTCTTCTTCTTCTTCTACTTCTTCTTCTTCTTCTTTGCTTTTTTTTTTTTTTTTGAGATCCATCCTCTATCAAGAAGTCAGAAGCGACTTTAAAGGTTTTTGAATTCAAATTTAAAAACCAACTTATAAAGCATTGCAACAAGGTTACCTCTATTTTGCCACAAGCGTCTCGGGATTGTGTTTGACTTGTGTCTGTCCAAGAACTTTTCCCCCAAAGATGTGTATAGTTATTGGTTAAAATGACTGTTTTCTCTCTCTCTGGAAATAAAGAGGAAAAAAAAAAGGAAACTTTTTTTTTGTTTGCTCTTGCATTGCAAAAATTATAAAGTAATTTATTATTTATTGTCGAAAGACTTGCCACTTTTCATGTCATTTGACATTTTTTGTTTGCTGAAGTAAAAAAAAAAGATAAAGGTTATACCGTGGTCTTTGAATTATATGTCTAATTCTATGTGTTTTGTCTTTTTTCTTAAATATTATGTGAAATCAAAGCGCCATATGTAGAATTATATCTTCAGGACTATTTCACTAATAAACGTTTGGCATAGATAAATAAATAAATGCAATGATCCAGGGTCCCTCTTTTATATGTTTACAAGTAAGCCATTAAAATGTCTGCAATTAAGGACTGCATGTGAACGGGGTAGACTGACATACAATAGGTGTGATGTTTTATTGCAAATAGTTAAGGTCGAACTTGCCACTTTGCATTTTAATAGTTGAATCAAAACTGGTTGGAAGCCTTTAGTTCTCAGCTGTGATAATGTTACTAACTGCTTTTTTGAAAATGAGATGCTGTCCTCCGTTCTACCCCCCACCTCTCCTCCCCTTTCTTGCCCGACCCACTCCATCCCACTCCACCCCACCCCACCCCAAATAGGAAGAAGGTCCTGCTTGAAATGCGTTTTGATTCTGAGTCTCTATTTTATTTTCTTGGAGTAAGTGCTTTATACCAAAGTCTCCTGCTTAGGATTGTTGAAATGACCCATATTTCAAGTATAAGCTCTTGCTAAAAGAGAGCCTTTCTGCCTGGTCAGTGAGGTATGACCATTATTTACCGGTGGCGGCTGTCAGCCGATTGAGAAATGCTGCTTTCTTTGCGCAGGAAGAGCAGGCCGAGAGAGTTTTCTCAGCAATTCCCAGAGCAGTCAGCTTACGTCTTTTCTGGTCTCTCTTCCCCACCCCCAACTTGTTTCCTCCTCCCCTCCCCTTTCCCCTTTCCCCTTTCTCCCCCAACTCCCAACTCCCCAACCCTCCGAAGGCTGTCTAGCCTCTGCCGAGAACCGCGGCCGAGGCTCCGTCGGGGAACCGCCTTCTGCGGGCTGGGGCCGCGGCGCGTGCTGTGCAGGCCCTCGCGGCGCTCGGAGCCACGGGCACGAGCGCTCCCACGCTCCCCGCCTCCCCGGCCCCGGGCATTTAGCGGGGGTTCCCGTGTGGGAGCCAGAACCCAGGGATAGATAAAGGGCCCTGCCCGAAATCAGGCTTCTTGGTGCTTCTTCGATTGCGGGTGTCGAGCTGGGATTTGGGGCTCCACCCTGTCCCCCTTCCGTCCTCCACCCCAGGATGATACTTGGACTCTTTAGAAAATGGATGCGTTTGTATGCGCGAGTGTCATGGCGTTTTAAATATCTGACAATTCTTAATAAATACGAGAGCTAACATACCCTAATCGTGTGTCTTGTGGCGCGTGCCCCTTCGGACCCCTGACCGGGAGCAGCTCGGAGGCCCGGCTGGAGGCCGGGTGAGCCCCGCGGCTCCCGGGCTCTCACGTCGCTTTCACCCTCTCCAAACCTGCCGCAAGTCGGGAAACGAGCCTCAATTAGGCTTTTGTTTGGCATCGTTCTACATAACGGGTTAATTACAGGCTCTAACGTGGGGGCAGAGAGAAAACAAACTTTGCATTGAAAATGTTACAGTGCATTAGACATGCCCGTTGATTACTTTGATTGTTGTGTCTAATTCTTCACAGAGGGGTAATAATTTGGCCGGCGGTAATAATGGCTTGTGGTCTTCTGTTGAGAAAAACAGGAGTTATGTCTTATCTCACACAGATCTTCTCCTGAAAAGATCCCTCTCTCTCTCTCTCTGTCTCTCTCTCTTATCTCTCTCTAATCTCTGGCATCAGACTTGACTCTTTCACCTTCCCGCTCATCATTTCTATTTGCCTGCCATTTCAGTTTTCCTTTTTCCTCCCCATCATATTTGGGAATTCTAAATAATAAGTGCAAAGATAAGTAGGTCCAACCTGAATATTGGTGTCTGCACAGTTACTCATCTCCCAAGCCCTCGTTTGGAGACCATTAAATTCCTTTTTCCAGCCATAGCCTCTGGTGGACTCTGTAGAGGTTAGATGGGGGGAAAAAAACCCACAAACTTTATTTAGGGTTTGAATGCAATGGAGGGACTTAAATGAGGCACACATCTTTGTGATGCTTTCTCATCCTGACATTTATTCCCAAGATTAGGGGTGGGGAGGTGGTGAAGGAGGTGATGTTTTACATGTATATATATCAGACTATTCTGGGGTCCACAGCTTGAATTTAAGTACAGTAATTTGGGAGGGGAGTGATGAACAATTTGGTTTCACTTGCTAGATTCAAGATATTTGTTGCCTGATGGCTGAGAATGGATTGATGGGTCGATTGCATTCTAGTTCTTGTATTATTCATATGAAAGGTGTGTTCCCTTCTAGACTCCTCAGCATGTGCTCTAAAATGCGTAACTGAAATGTCTCCTTGTTTGCAAACCATCTCTCTCACATACTCTCCTCTTCCCTGTACACCTCTGGAGACCTAGCTTTGAGCTGTGCTCTTCTAATGAAATTCCTCCTGTTTGCTATTATCTTTGATCCTCCCTCCCCTTATTACTCTGAATTCTTCCTTCTGGATATTATGACTCATTTCCTCCAGCTTCTGCAAGCTAAAACCTAATGCAACTAAAAACATCCAGGATGCTCTCCTTAAATCAGGGAATCCACATCAACATCTATACTCAGAGAGGGGCCCCCCCCCCCCCCCCACATTGTTTCAGAGCAATAACATCTTCTATTTGAGTTTACTGTCTCTCTTTCCCTTTCATTAAATGGACCTGGCTTTCCTTACCATTCAAAAAGTTCTTTTCTAAGTCAAAACCATATTTGAAGAGACTTTTTTTCTTTGTTGAAATAACATTTCTGGTTATTTGACATTCTTCGTGGGTGTGTGTACCCACTTACCAATTCACAAGGGTTTTTTTTTTTTTTGGAATTCCAGATTAAATATATGACTCTGTGATGCTCTGCTGCTATTCATCCTAACCAGCTTGTTAGACTCATTGCATTGACCTCTTTTTTTGGTCTATCTTATTCTTTTGACTAGTAGCCAAAAGACAATGTGCTTTTAAGGTACCTAGAAGTAGTTGGCATTTCCCTAGCACCTTGAACTTTAAAGCCATAAGATCGTTTTCATTGATATATCTCTTGTAAGCCCCATGTGGATTTACTTAGTCTTTTCCATTTTCTTAAAAAAAATGAGAAAAAAAAGTTAAAATTTTGTCTAATCCATGAGAAGAGCTATGTGTGGATGGAATTCAACCAATTTGGGTTTTTAATCCCACCCCTACTACAAGTAAACTAAGCAGAACTACTTATTTTCTTATTTGTAAAGTTTAGTCAATTTTTGTAAGAAATTTATAATCCAAATTATGCTTGATTTCTGTTCTATTTACTTCCTTTCTGCTAATCAACAGTTAAAGATTAGTCACAACAAGGCAAGTCAAATTTTCTTTGGAGGTTCAGGGAGAAAAGGGGAAAGGATTTTCTGTGTGTACCTTTATTTTAAAAATGTTACTTCAAAACTGGCCCCAAATCTTGAATTCTTGCTAACTATTTGAAATAAAAATAATTAACTTGTACAGTGTGGGTTAATGTTTTTAAACTAAAATGCAAGTAGTTAATTCAGGGCGCTGGCAGCTGATTCTGTTTACTGATCTCTTCTGATTGTTGTTTTCTTGATAACTGAGCAAGCCACTGAATGGCTGTTTGAGCCCAGGCGCCACAAACATAAACTTCACAGCTTACAATGTCCCAAGTCATGATGGAGGATCTCTCCACACCTCCCGGAGACTTCTGAAGTGTAGACAGAGAAGTTGGTTCACAGAGAGCGTAGGAGGGGGAGGGGCGGGAGGGAACGCTGCGAGTGTTTGCTGTGAGCGTTGTTACTATCACATCCTTTAATTTTTATGGCGCTTACGCTGTTGGCTCAGAGAAGCCAGTTTCTGTGCCTTGGGGGAGCCAGTCTCTCCCCAGAGCCGCACTTAAGACTGGTTGACCCTTTTTATTTTTTAAAATTTATTTTTCAACTCTTTATGCTTAATTATCTTCTGGAAAAGCGCTCGGCAATGGTAACCAAAGCGGTCTAAAAAGAAACCCCCACCCCCACCCCAAAGGGGACGCCTAGATTTGGAGGAAAAAAATGTGGGGTAAGATTGCTTTGCGCCAGGTAGGGGAAAGGCACTTTACTACAGTCCTGTGGGAGATTCCACTGCGTCTTCTCCTTGCCTGGGATCCCCTTTCCATTCCATTGATTGAAAGTTCGCGTTTATTTCGAGGTGGTGTTATTTGTGGATTTGATTGAGGTGGCTGGCTACTTATTTTTGCCGGTCTTCCTAGGGGTGCTTCCCTCGGGTGCATTTCCCGCGCGTGGCTGGGCGCTAAGAAGTGGGGACCCGACACTGGTCTAACCAGCCCCGCGACTCCTGCAGGCACGTCAGCCCTTGATCCCTTAAAGTAGGGACAATCGTGGTCCGGGAGAGGAAAAAAGGGTGTTGGTGGGCCCTTCTCTTTCAGGAGTTGATCAGGTTGGCAGATCTGGAGGGCTAATCCAAACAAGGCGCTTGACTTGTGAGGTCGCGAGTCTAGACAGAGCTGGTGGCTCGGCGGCTCCTTATCTTTCCCTGGAATCAGCCGAAGAGGCGCTCCCCCGGCCCACTGCGCTGCGCTCACCCTTGCCGGAGCCACTGCTCCGCACAGACGGCACAACAAACACAGCACCTGAGGCTTTACAGCTCGCTTTATTGTTTGGTGGGAATGCTGCAAAACGGTCATTTGTTTTTCGGAACCCGCGCCTTGGCCGCTTCGCGTTCTGGCCACCGACTCCGGGTGGGGGTGTCGCCAGCGCCCGGCTGTCCGCTCCGGCCCCGCTCGCTAGAGCGCTTTCGGCAACTCCGTCCGGCTTCCTCCCCTTCTATCCAGCGCCACCCGCCCCCCTCCGCGAGGGCCTACGGGAAACCCTCCCCGGCCCTTTTCTTTTTTCCGAACCTTGGGAGGCGAGGGGGGTGGAGGGACTGTGCGAGGAAGCCTAGGGCGAGGTGTCTTGGACTAATCCGGTATCTCTTCTTGCTGCCTGGAAATGACAGTTCTGCGCTATAGCCATTTATGGTTTGCAGGGTCAGTGAGCTCTGACTCAAGGGCGATCAATAAAAACATTTAGTTCAGTAATAAGCTGCCTCCCCCCCCACCTCAATGTACCGAGAAGGATGCGTCACCATCTTGGACAGGGTGTCTCTGAGCAGCAGAGCGCCCTTTCTTGCCCCATGAGCACAAAGAAGTGACGTGACTTTCCAGTGTGTTCACGACCACTTCGCTGGGCAAACCGTGGAAGTCTTCCTTGATCCTCAGCTGTCTTCCCCCACAAAGAGGCTGGCACTGCCATCCACTTGGGAGCAGGGGGACCTTTGGGACAGAGCTTGGTTGCAAATGCCAACTTTGGAAGGACAGATAGCCAAGCTTGGGGATTTACAATCAAGGATTTGTGGCTTGCCACTTTAGATTAATTGAGGTTAAATTAATTATAATTTTGATCCTTCCCTATGGGATTTTTCTCTTGTTTCAAAAGGGAGGCAGGGTTTCTAGTTACATCTTGTTATTTACTATTCTTGTAGTTTGCAAACAGCATTCTGTGTATGTGTATGTAATTGGTGTGGAATAGATAATACTGCCTCTGTTTGAAAACTAACCATAAATGTGGATGAGAGTCATTTGGTTATGTGCTTAATGTGGTAGCGATACAAAAACCATCATCTCCCAGCTTTGGAGGCACCACAAATCCATATCATGCTTTTCCCTGCCTGGGCTCAGTCTCACAACCGTGTGCTAGATGAAAAAAGATAAAACTCAAGTTTCACAAAATCAAGGAATTTCAGTAGGGAGGTTAAAAAAAAAATTCTGTCTCCAGAAAATAATTCTTAACTGTACTCAGGCACTGACTTGTCTTGTTCTCATGGGTAAGGGTTGCTGTTTATTTTGACCTGTCACAAATACAATGTGTTGTTTGAAACTTGTTAAACTTAGCAGGTATATGGAGATAGTACTAGACAGGCCACTGAATATGATAAAGTAAAATATGGTGGGAATGAATTTTAAGGGCTATGAAAGATTTTCCTTTTTCCTACTAGTTTTTTAATGAATATTTCTTTGATCTTTTTTCTCATGGTTATGCAATATCTATCTGTAGATTAGTAGTCTAGTGTATAGTAAGGTGTGATTGGCAAAGTGTTACTTATTCAGGTTCTATCCTGCAGTCATTTTGATAACATAAATTGCCTATATATTCTAAGTAAGTTCTCTTTTCCTTCATTAAAAAATGCCCACACCTAGGTAAAAACATTTCCTGTCTCAAAATTTTC